GAAGGCACAATAATGCATGTTGCATGTCCACTGAAATCACGTATGATGTTACTATTTTTTTTATCAGCACAAGTCATCAATGAGTATTCAGAGCTACCGACTCTGTAACTACTAATTGCCAGTAGTTTTTTTTCTTCGTATCAATAATTGAATTATAATAATTTGTAAAAAGATTTTCAGTTAAAATGATAGTAAGGATATTTTATATTTGATATCAATGAAAAATTGATTTCCCACGATTTTCATTCAAAAATATTTCACGTCGTTACGTCATGGCTTTTTCATTAGCACTATAATTACAAAAAAAATTAAAAGTGCATATTATCCCTGCGCATTGGACAAGAAGATTTCACTGCCGGTGAGTTTAATACACATCGTGTGAAACGCAAATTGTTGTTGCATACGTGTTTATAATGATGCGCTCATTTCGATGAGGAGGCTTTAGAGGGTTCTTAATAACTCGTTAATTATCGTTTTAGGAAATTCTCCAGTGTTATTTCCCCAATTACCTTTACGTAAGGTGTATACGTTGGTATATTTTTAATGCGAACGAAGCGTTTACATTATGCCTGGCTCATTTCTCCATCGCAACTCGCCGCAGTAATTGATTTAATTGCCGAGTGAAATTATTGAGAAAAAAAAAAACAAAATATTGAGACTAATGATTCTTTCTCATAATAGGCAGTACTGACTGCAGCGGATAAATTTTTTGGATTAACGTTTGAATTAATTTGATACACCGATGAAGCTCGACTGGAAAATGGTTTTAAGGGTAATTACTTGAGAGTTAAGATTTCCCGAGTTCCTCCCCCCGTTGGTGCGATTATGTCGGTTTTAACGGCACATAACGCCACTAACAAGAAGATCGCGTGTTACGCTTCGTCCCAGGGTCGACGAAGGTAACCACGCGTGCACAAAACCCACCTATGCCTTCCTTCAATTTTTAACATTATTCCACTCATTTTCCATTTGAAAAAAAAAAAAAACAATTCAAACACTCCTCCGTCATTTAATGACCACTAGCTGTTGGTACTGTACGAGCGGAAACACCCAGGAGCAATTATTTCATCTTGAAATAGTACTTCACCTGGACTTTTATTTTTATTTGGCTTTCATGAGTCAAGTGTACCCCTGGCAGTTGTGATTGACGTAGGGGAAAGTGTCCAGAGGATGCAGCCGTTGGACGGAAGTCTAGTAGTCCCCAAAACCCACCATCAGCAACATCAGACAATGCCCAGGGCTATAACTGAGGAAGTTACCCAGGGAGAGAGCAACTTGGACTGTTGTTTTTGGAGACGTTGACACGTTGTCTTGAAAACTTAGCGCTTATTTTACACGCTGTTACCTCGGTAAGCTTGTGCACTTGAGTTTACCGAAGTACTATATGCTAATTACATTGTAAATTTTGTCGGTGAATCTCAGACAGCGGTAACGATCAATTCATTAGGAAGATCTAAAAATATTGTTTCTTGGATAAATCGGAAAGCGGAATTTTCCGTCAATCCATTTTTATTTGGTCATGATCATAATTATAATTTTTACCTTAACCTATTAAAATAACAATAATGATAACAACAGTAATTAGATATCTTCATGAAATGATGAAATATTTTTCTTCAAGAAAAAAAAATGTTTTCTCATTCCTCTAAAAAAAATGCGTCAACCAATTTATAATGAGTGATAATTTAAATAGTTTTCAATGAAATTCAGATTGAGAAAATATTTTTAATGACATGGATGAAGTGGCAGTTCCAGGGGCAAACGAACTCGAGCATTTCGCGCAATGGCCGATGAGTTGGCTCTCTGCATATTCAAGATGATGATCAACATGCAAATTGCTCATGTGCAATCCCGTGTAGACGTCTGTCTTCATTCATTTATATAAATATACTCGAGGTTCACTGCGCGAGTAATTAAAAAATATATCGAAACAATATTTAGCGGTATTATAATAATATAAGGGTGGTTGATATATTTCGTGCAGATGTAATCGCATCGACCGGCTGAATGAGAATAATGAAAAATTTTCGGGTAGAAAAGTGAGGGAAGCGATTAAGTCTATTATATAATTGTTATCAGCATGAGAAAAATCTAGGGGAGAGTGCGGTGGTGCACACCTCACTACATCCACTTCTAATTTTCACCCCAACCTCTCACATTGGTTGGTATATAGTGTATATACCAGGGAACCCCTCCAGAAGGGACCCTCTTGTGTTTTATGTGTCATACACGCTACTTCGTTCATATATTATTGGCTGCCTATATGAGTAACAAGCTCACATCCCCAGGGGTACAAATGAAACACCTGCAGGAAATCACCGCCCTTCAATGCAAATATTCAGTTAAAAAATCTCACTCTTATGGATTTGAAAATTTTCACTGGAAATAGTGTTTTAACCCTGTGGAAATCCGAGACGTTAGCAGCAAAGTGGCTTTTAGATAAGTTTTGAGCCGGTTATATTCTTCACTATCAATGCAAATTGCTGGTAATGGAGGGCTCGTAGACGTAACCCGAGATGGCTCTTGTTATAATCCCCTTGTGAATGGAACCTCCTCTCTCGCTACAAAATCCTCGAGCCTCGAGTTAAAATCCAGGAAAAATTGTTGAAAATACACGCGAAGATATTTCCATTAAAAAAAAATCATTCAACAATTGATTTAAGAATTATGGGGCTCATCATAAGTAAAAAATTTCATTGGAATTTTAGTCAACGTTTTGAGGACAATATGTACCCAATTAGGCTTATATTTAAATTGAAAAAATATCAAATTTTTTCAATTTGAAATTTCAAAATTTTTAAAATATTGCGGGAATAAATTTTCCACTGGAACGAAACGAATAAAAATAAATAAACGAATAAAAAGGAATAAAAAGGAATAAATGTACCGTACAGTGATAGACAAATTTGGTGAAGACACTGCAGCAAACAACTTGTCGTCAAAGGTATATTGATACAGATATAGGAACAAAGTGGTGAGGTAAGGGGAAGTTATGGAGTTTAGCCGTTAAGTTAACCGGCGTTTACCTTAATCTAAGATCGACGCTGGCTGGCCGTACGCCGCCGTAATGTATTGCCATATGAATATGCATTGGACACGGTAGAGGGGTTTATACTGTAGAAAGCTGGGGCTTGAAGAGTCAAGAGACTGAGTATAAGTTGGTTGATGCCAGAGAGGGAATAGCATTGGTGTTGGAATTGGTGTTGGCGCTAGCGCTAGCGTGTGCGTGTAAGCGCGAGCAGCACAAACAAGCCGGCGACGTTTCGCGCGCCGTTTCCCTCCCTCCTGTCCTGACTCACTCTATCTTGATGTTTATTTCTAACCCCCTTGGGCCCTCTCAGTGTATTTCACTGCATACACAATCAGTAGAAATATAGAGGGAACTGAGTGTCGTGCGTGTTCTCCTGGCAAACGCGAGTAACTCGCCCTCAAATTTGCGCGAAAACGTTTTCGCGTCCGGTTATACCTCATATACTCTTCCACGGGGGGGCAGG